TAATTTACATAAAGAAAATAATAAATTTAATTGTCAATTTTTAAAAATATTCATTAAATTATAATTTTTTAATTTTTTAATTTTTTAATTTTTTTATAATAATTATACTGACATGTATTATTTTTATATATAAATTAATTTTTCGCGTAAAAAAATATGTTTTTTTAACCGTTGTTCTTGCATTTTAGAAACATCCCAATTTGGTGTTAGAAAAAACAAAAATACTACTTAATTGAATCGATCAAGTTGGCTTGATAATTCATTATTGGTTAAATCTTTAATTTGGTCCTTCAACTATTGTATAAACTTTTAATTTGGTCTTTAAATTAAAAAAATTTTTAATTTGATTCTTACTGTTTACCATTTTGCCCCAAGTTGATATTTCTATACAAAAACAATTGACGTGCCTCGTTATTAATATGACATGTGATCATTAAGTTACTGTTTTCTACCATTAAGTTATTATTTTTTATTGTTAAATACTAAACATGTCAACTTTTTTTGGTACCGGAGGACTAATTTGGGATAAATTGGTGAATGGTAAGAACCAAATCGAGTGTTCGTACAATAGTTTAAAAACCAAATCAAAGATTTTTTTAATTTAAAAACTAAATCAAAAATTTATACAATAATTTAAAGACCCAATTAAAGATTTAACCTTCATTATTCTTACACGTCTAAGTTCTCAAAAGAAGAAAAAAAAAAACAAAAAGTCTAAAGAGAGGTGGGTCTGAGCAGAACCATGGACCGGGCCGAACAAGTAAAGGTAAATATTAGGCCCGTTAAGTAAAGATGAATTGACACCAGCACACACATGTAGGAAGACCCAAACACGCGCGCCAGCAGGTCTTATGGGGTTTTCCAACGAGGCCATATATGCAAAGGGCATAGTCATTCCGTCTCCTCATTTTCTCTAGGGTTCGGGCCGTCGATTTCTGCACAGATCGCCGTGGGTCGAAGTAAGTTTCATATAGAATTGTCTGTATTAAAATAAAACTAATTAAGATATGAAATACTAAAATATCGACATTAACATAATCATTCAACATAAATTTTAAATTATTATATTTTTAAAATGTTACTACTTATATGACAATCAAATTTTTTATTATATTTGATATACTTTTTAAGTAGTATATCAAATTTATCATTATCTATTAATCTATCATATCTCTATATGAATTTAAATAGATAAAATACTTTATGTTCTGTGAAATTTCTTAGTTTATGTAGAAAATTAAATTTACTTATTACTAATGCTGAATAAATCATGTTGATCCATTTCTAATTTTTATTAAATTTATAGTATATATTATTAAAAGTTATTATATAAAATTTTCTCTCAATCTCAATTATGTCCTTCATATCAATATGGTGATTAAGTATTAAAAAGCAATAAGAATGATATATTTATTATAAAATAAGAATCTCAAAAAAATAAAAATCATAAAATCTATATTGAATTAATCAGGTTATATTGTAGTTCTAGATGACTAAATCAATTCATAATAAAAGGAATAAAATTTGAAATCATAGTTATTGTTTTCCCAAAAATCCTCTAATGACCTCGCACGTATGAAATCTAGATGTGGGCGTGTCACTTAGTTTGCTGAAAGTAAAAAAGGAAGACTTTCCCAACGACCCTCTCCTTCCTCATGGTTGACCTCTTTGCAGATGGCGGGAAGAACGTTGGATTAAAATTGAAATCTGTGCCTACAGATGATTTGCAAGAGGAATGGATACCTTCCTGCAAAATGGGTTACAAAATCTGCCTTAGACAAATCCAAGGACTTAAATACTAGTGTGACTTAAAATTAACAAATCCTAATTGAATTGAATAATTTGCAATTTAAAATAAATTTACAAAAATAAAATATGCCCAAATTAAACTAAACATGTTCATTGTTAAATTAAAATGCTATCTACTAGCAGATTTGGAAATTAAAATGCTGCATAATTAAAGATTTTACCCTAATTAACATTAAAATTAACATGAACAATAATTAAACTAACCTACTTGAAGTTGAAAAGAAGTGTGAACACCACATAAGTAATCATTGAATAAAATGCTACTTATCATAAATATTAAATTAATTGCAAATAAAAAGAGAACAATACCTTGCATAAACTTGAAAGATTGAAGTTCATTACATGAAAGGAAATTGTTGAACTGAATACATGAATTAATTTGCCCACTGGAATGATGAAAAACAACCTAAATCTACCAGGATTTGTGCTGAAATTCGAAATCTGGAAGTAATTTGCAGAGAAAATAAAAGTCTGAAAATTTGCAGATGTTTGAGTAGGGCTGGCTGTGTGTTCTTCCTTCCAATATTTCCTTTTTGTTCTCCTTTGGCCGACAGTAACCCCCCACTTTCTATAGTTGCAAAGTTGTAGGTGGTTTCTTGAGGTAGTGGGACAGCTCATGGGACAGCTCACCTATTGACTTGGTTTGATCTCTTTCCAGATTGTCGCCACCTGTGCCCTTATCAGATCAAACCCCTCTTTAACTGCAATCCTCTCTTATATTTTAGCTCAAACAGTCCCTTTTTGCCTCAAAGAGATAATTACATAGTAAAATCTCATCTTTATCTCCCATTTTCTGCCAAAATGATAGCTGATCTGTCATGAGGCCTAGAATCACGAATCTAACATGGTTTAATCTCCTCCATTTATTTAAAAATTTTTTGACACGTGGCATGATCCTAAATTTTTGCAATTTATGGTGTAAACAATACCCCATAACACTTGGTTTTATGGACATAAATCCAAGTGTTTTTAAATTAAATCAATTGCATGCACAACTTTAACTCCCTTTACCACATGTCAGATTTCAACCACTAAAATGCACATGGTAAATAACTTCAAAATTTGAAAAAGGAGATCTCAAACGTTGAGGCTAAGCTTGCAAAACTAAAGAAATAGATTCCCCTTACAGAGCATACAGAAAAGTGCTTGGCAGAACAACTCAGCAAACTTTATGCAGATTTAAAAGCACACCTACAAGCATTTTCCAGCATCAAAGCACAACTTCTTTCTTTCACCTCTTTGTCCATGCTTGTGGCCACTCGCTTGTTGTATGCCTTGTTCCATTCTGCAGAATGTTGAAATCTGCCACGACCAAAATCTTGTTGCTTTGATTGCTCACGGCCAGATTTAGCCAGCTTACATATTCAGATTAGCACATTTATTGAATTATAAAATGCTAAAAAAGAAAAGAAAAAATT